CAAGATGACCCCAGCAGAGGTGAGGGGTTGGGGAGAAACAGGCAGGACCCTCCTGCTCAGAGGGATCCCAGACATCCCAAAGGGGTGCCAGAGCATGAGGTGGGTGTGGGGAGGTAGGGGGTGGATAACCCAAATTTCTCCATAACACCGGGTGTAAGGAGGACGGGAGGGCCCTTGCTGGCACTTGTGAGGGGGCCGTACCCCTTACCCTGCCCAATGGCACCTCCCCAGATCCTGGAGTGGGAAGAACAGCAGCTGGACCAGCTGGTGGACTTCAGCAGTGCCAAGATCGACCCCGCACCCTTCCAGCTGGTGGAGCACACCTCGCTGCACAAGGTGCGCCCACACCCCACCCCAGACCCCCACCCGCAACCCCCAGACCCTCAACTCAGCCCCCTCTTCCTGCAGACCCACACCATCTTCTCTCTGCTGGGCCTGGACCACGCATTTGTCACCAGCATCGGGCGGCTGGTGGGCATGGTGTCCCTCAAGGAGGTGAGCAGGGCACAGGGAGGCTGGAGGGGCACAGGGCAGAACCTGGAGCTGTCTGCCCATGGCTTTGGGGTCCCCGCAGCTGCGCAAGGCCATCGAGGGCTCACTGACGGGCAAGGGCGTGAAGGTGCGCCCGCCGCTCGCCAGCTTCCGCGACAGCACCGCCAGCACCACCGAGGCCGACACCACCGCCCTGCGCCAGCTCTGGGACCGCCACCAGCACCACCTCATGCCCCGCGAGGCTGGTCCTGGCGGCGACGATGATGACGACACCCCCAGGGGTCAGTGAGACCCTTGAGATCCACCCCCCTGTGTCCCCAGAAGCCACAAGGGCCCCCTGGCAGGTGCTGGGGCGTGCCTGCCCTGAGCCACTGACCCAGGCTCAGCACAGGAACGGGCACTCTCAGTCCAGTGCCTCTGCTCCCTCCCTGGGCTGGGGACCAGCCAAATGCCCCCCAGGCAGCCCCTGCTCCCCAACGACCTGCCAGCTCTTGGGGCTTCCCACTTTGCTACCTCTGTACCCCCCCAGCCCCTGGTGCCCCCCAGAATGGCCACTGCCCTCACACCCTCCATGAGCACCGCAATGTCCCTTCTCAGGGTGGCACGGGGCGGAGAGGGGCATCAGGTTGGGGTGTCCACGGCGACATGGGTGGGTATTGCCCCCTGTGCTCAGCACCTCATGGCTGGGAACAGGGGGTCCTGCTGCCTCTCTGCCGTGCACCTCTCCCCATGTAAATACAGAGATATTTATATTAATTTAATAAAAGGACTTTATAAACAGAGCTGAAGCACTGTGGGGCTGTGAGGTGGAGAAGGGCACAGCCAGTGGGCACCGGCTGAGCTTCACCACGGTGCTGGGGTTGGCATGGCTCCGGGCAAGGAGCCTTTTGTCACGCAGAGCCGCTCACAGCATGGCCTCGCTGCGGTGCAGCAGCTGCGGGCGCTGCCCGGCGCTGGCGCGGCGCCGGACGGTGATGACCAGCGTGCCAGCCTCGGTGAGCGTGCAGCTCACCGACAGCGGGTCCGTGTCCTCGGGCAGCTGGCACTTGTGGGTGAAGGTGTCGCAGACGGTGCCATCCTCAGCCACCTGCGGGGAGGCAGCACCGGCGCAGTGTGCCATGGTGGGTTCCACAGCACATTCCCAGGTACCCCAGTGCTCCTAATGGGCAATCCCAGACACCCTGACTCTAACAGGGAGTTCAACAGGAAAGATCCCAGTGACGCCAGGGCAACTCCCAGTGACCCCATTGCCAGCAGGAAGCAGGCGTCTGCTGCCCAAGTCTGGGCTTGTGGGTAAATTCCAGCTACTCCAGTGCCAGCAGGGACTGTTCCCACTTGCCACCTCCAGCAGAGAAGGCAATGGAGCAGGAGTTCCCAGTTGTCCCGTTCTCAGTGAGGACAGTTCCCAGTTACACCAGCACAGGACAGGTGCAGTAGAGCGGGAGTTGCCTGTTGTCCCATCACTGGGCACAGCTCCCATTTACTCCAGTGCTACCAAGGGCTATTCCCAGTTGCCACCCCCTCCCTGCCACCCACAGGAGGGGTGTCACGGGACAGGACCCCCGCTGTGCCATGGCCAGAGGGGATGCTGCCCCCTCGGGTGCCTCACCTTTTCTGCCTGGATGGCGACATGGCAGTTGGAGGTGGTCACCACAATGTCAGGGGGCTCAAACTGGCTGACGTCGGCCACCACTTGGTAGGTGTCACCCTGGGCACGCACCCAAGTGCCCAGGCTGCAGGGGTACATGGCACCTGGGGACTCTGTGGACAGTGGAGTGCTGCTGGGCATGGGGCCACAGTAACCAGGGGCTGGGCACTGGGGGCTGTGGGAGAGTCTGGTGACAGTGGGAGAGGGAGGGCTGGGGGTAGCAGGTGTCACTGGGAGTTTGGGGATATTGAAGGTGCTGGGGAATTGCAGGGGGAACTGGGGGTCCCAGGGGTAAAGGGGTACTGGGGGGGTAGTGGGTGGTCTGGAGGCACCTGAGAGCACTGGGAGATTCCAGGGGCACTGGACAACCTGAGGACAGCAGGGAAATGGCACAGGAGGGTGAAGACAGTGGGGATGACCACAAAGGTCTGGGGGGAGTGGGCTAGGGGGGAGGAGGACACTAGAGTTACTGGGGATGTACAGGAAAGGGGGGGCCTAGCAGGTGACATCAAGGGGTGTGGGGCACAGGGGAGCTGAGGACATACTGTGATGGTCTGGGCTGGGGAGGAAAAGCTATGGGGGGTTGTGGGAACAAAAGGAGAATCAAAAGGGTCTGGGGAGGGGAAGGAGGCAGCATGGTGGTCCTGGGGACAGCAGGGACAATGGAGTTATTGGGGACTTACAGCGGGAGCACAAAAGCATTGGGGAGTAAGAGCTGGAGGGCAGTCCAGAGAGCCATGGGGCACCGGGGGGCAGCCAGGGCCCCCTCTGAGCCCTTCCAGCCGGTGCTGGGGGGAGGGTCCCACGCTGTCCCCAGGCACAGGTCAGCTGGATAACCCTTGGAGGGCACCATCCCCAAGGTAGCAGGGCTCCCCCAGGGTAGCAGGGCCACCACACCCTAGGGCCCCCCGCCCTGCACACCCGGTACCTGGGTACCCAAACGCCTCCTGTCCCCGTGCCCCAAAGGGTGCGTGCCGCCGGTCGCCCTCGAAGCGGGGCTCGCCGTGCCCCGGCCCGTAGGCGCTGAGCAGCTCGGCGCGGTACGTGGAGGCCGAGCTGAGCGATGCCATGGCGCCTGCTGCCCGCAACCCCGGGGCCCTGCCGTGGGGAGGGTCCAGGCCCGCCAGCCGCCACCGCCAGATGCCCATAATTAGGCACCCTGTCCGCAGGAATGCGAGATAAGGGACGAGGCCTCCGTCACCCTGTGGGGCCGCGGATGGGGATGTATCCCTGCCACCGCTGGCTGCCACCCCCATGTCCCCTGGGAGGGGGTGCCCCCCACCCGCAAGAAGAGGCGCCCTGTGCAGCGCTCGCACAATTGACTTTATTCAAGACCTGGCAGGATGGAGGAGGGGGTGCCACGGTGTGGGCACCCCACGGATACTCCACAGGCACCGCCACGGCGGGGCGGGGGGCTCAGGCAGCTCCCGCAGATATGCACACGCGTGCACATGCCCATGCGCTCCCAGGTGTGCACATGCACACACACACAGAGCAAAGCCCCCCAGCCATCCACAGGCACCCCGCTCCCCCAGCCCACCCCAGCACCGCGAGGAGCATCCGCTGCCCCGGCAGCGAGCGGCAGCGGGCGGCAGGGAGCCAGCGGCATGGCCCCTGCAGCCCCTCGGTGGTGCAGGGCAGGGGGCCAGCCCCACAGCGGGCACCCCATGGCAGGGAGGGAGAACAGGAGCTGTGCCTGGCAGGGGTTGGTGGGGGTGCTGGCAGATGCAGGGGAGCAGAGGTGGGTGCTGGGGGGGCATCCCGGGGTGTGGGGACAGGGAACAGTGACTGGGCTGGGTGAGGAGCAGCATGCAGGGGGAGAGTGGCCCCACGAGAACACGTGCCATGCGGGAAGGGGCGCGCAAGCGTTGGCAAAAACTGGCATTCCTCCCCCAAATGACGTGCCTGGAACCCCTCACATGGGCTTGGGGGGTCCTCGGGGGGGGTGCCACCCCCAGCCAGGATAGGGGGGGCTGGCTGCCCTTCATGTAGGCACTTGGTTCCCTGCTAGGGGTGAGTGACTTGTCGACAGGGACATCAGTCCCACGCCCTACCCCCTCTCTCCACCCTGCATTGCCTCACAGCAGACTTGGGGACCCCTGGCCGGGCTGACCCCCTTACTGCAGGGCTGGAGTGGGACCGCTCTTCTGGTGGCCCAAAGCCCCCAGCCTGGGGGCCTGCGCCCACCTGGCCCTGCAGACTTCCTGTGTCAGCCCCACGCAATTACAAAAGTATAGAAAGTCCCAGCACCGCAGCACACCACAGCCCCCCAGCACCCCTGGCACCCCCACAGCACCCCTCCAGCAGCTCCATGCTCCAAGGCAGCAGTTCACAGTTTTAAACTCGGTCCAATAGAAGATGGCCAGGGAGAGAGGAGAAAAGCCCTTCCCGCACCAAAACCCCCACCACCACCCTGGCTTGGGGTGGCAGAGGCACCACAGGATGATTGGAGATTTTCAGCCATGCCATTGGGGGAGAGGGAACTGTGCCCAAAAGGGGAGCCCAGGGTGGTTTGGGGGAGAACATGCGGACAACCAGCCCCACTTATTTAGTCTTGTCAGTTTTTGGGGGCACATCTGGGCATCAGGGCAGAGGACAGATTCCCCCAAGCCCTTCCCTGCGCCCCTTCCCTGCTCTCATGCAAAAATCCAGGAGGGCAACGATGTGGCCAAGCAGGGCCGGGGCACAGTGGGGGCACACTGGCTGGGGGGGCTGCAGTGGCCCCCGGACCCCTCCTGCACCCGGATAGCGAGGGGGAGCAGCGGCAGGGCCTGTCCCTCACCCAGCGTGGGGTCTGGCCAGAGGGCTTCAGCAGGGGACCTGGACCCCCACCAGGAGAGGCAGGGCACCCCAGGAGGCATCAGGGCTCTTCGGCCTCCTCCTCCTCCTCCAGCGATGCCACCCCGGAGGAGGCGACGTCAGAGATTTTCCGGCGGAGTGGGAAGTCCTTGCTCAGCACCACCTCGTCCTCCGTGGGCGAGAGACAGGCTTCAGCGTAGGACACGGAGTAGAGGGAGTCCTGGCACCGGAGCCGTGCCAGGCCCCGCAAGGCACTTTGGCTGGCTGGGGGCGGCAGCTTGGGCAGCAGCAGGTCCTCTCCCCCCAGGGAGCCCAGCAGTTTGGCAGTGAGTTCGGAGGGGGACACCATCTCCAGGCTGCAGAGGCTGGAGCAGAGAGTCTCAGGGGAGAGGGTGTGCGAGGAGTCGCTCTCGGGCTCGCAGGAGCCGTGCCGCACGCCCAGCTGGCACAGGTGGCCCTGCAGCAGGTCTCGCAGCAGCGCGCTGGCGGGCATCGTGCCTGTCAGCTCTGTGGGAAATCAGGATGTCTGGGTCAGTCCACAGCTGAGGGTGCCAGGGATGGCAGCTGCCCCCTGCCCTGTGCACCGCAGGTTGGGAGAAGTCCCGTGCTCGCTTCGCCCACAAATTGTTGCATGCGTGGCACTGGTAACCATCAAAGGAAAAGCAAAACACTCTCTGGCACCACCGAGGTGTTGCATTCAAGGGCTTCCCCATCCCCGGCTTAGTACTGTTTGCCAGCGTGCAAGGCAGGGGCACTGCCCTGTATGGGAGTGACCAGGCTGGGGAATGTGCCAGGCAGTGGGCATTCCATTCCTTTGTCCCTCAGTGGTGGGACACCCACACCAGCAGTGGGACAACTTTCCCACTTCCCCACAGCACTTACCGGTGGGCTGGGAGCTCTCTGTGGAGGGCATGAAGTCCTCATCGTAGGACTCGTCATTGGAGTCATCCCCATCCACTGAGGACCAGGCTCGCAGCTTGGCCTCAGCAATGGCAAACTGCTCCGCCACACCTGGCATGGGACAGGCACTGATCAAACACACGCAGGGAGGTGCTCCCAAAATCCCACTGCCCTGGCACGTCTATGCTCACAGTGCCATGGCATGGATGGATGGATGGATGGATGGATGGATGGATGGATGGATGGATGGGGACCAGCCCACCGCCCCAGCCCAGTGCCGCAGTGGGGACCAGCCCTCCGGCCGTGCCCGCGGTGCCTACCGGCAGCGAATCGCGCCTCCTGCTCGCCCTCGCTCAGGTGGCAGTAGGAGCTGAAGGCGCTCTCCAGGGCGGAAGGTGACTCCACTGGCTTGCACCAGCCCTTCCACTCGATGAGGTGGGCAACACGGCCCTGGGCCATGGCCGTCGGCTTTGTCACGTGCTCCTTCACCACCTGCGAGATGCCTATGGGATGTGCCCTGATGTCAGCATGCCCTTGGCACCCCAAGTCCCCACCACAGAGCCCATAGCCCTGGGACCCAGCACCCCCTACTTCCAGTCCATAGGACCTGGCACCCCCATGCCCTCCTCTTGGGTGCCACCAGTAACCCACTGGTCTCCCCTGAAACTCCAGACCCAGGACCCCCCAAGATGCCCAAACTCCTCCCCTGAGGAGAGCCCCCTTTCCCAGATGAGCCCCTGGGTGAACAGTTACCGTGCAGCGAGGAGCGGGCCAGGGCAGCGATCTCCTGGATGGTCAGCGCGCGCCGTGACTTGGGCAGCATCTCGACAGTGTCCTCAACATTGACCTGCCAGAGAGGGCAGCGTGGTCACAGCCCTGGCACCATTTCCCTTCCAGGAGCCCCACACTCCAGGAGAGGGCTCGGCACTGCTTGGTGCCCACCCCGGGGGGCCTGGGGTGTTTGTGCACACACGCATCATAGGCATGGGTGTGTGCAGCACACCTGCACATGTAACTGCTGAGGTAACCACATGTGCCCACACACACAGAGGCAGCCACTCAAACACACAAACTGACCACAAACACACGCCTGCACACTCACACCTGAACGCCACTGTACACACACGTGCACCTGCACGCTTGTGTGCGCTCACATGTGCCCGTGCCCTGTGCTAGATGGTGTCACACACACGTGTGTGCCCGCCCCAGCTTGTGCACGCACACGTGCATGTGGAAGACCACCTCAGCCCAGCTCCCCAGCACCCACTCCCTGGCAGCACACACCGTGCCAGGACATCCAGCTGTATGTCCCCATTGCCATCCCGGCCATGCCAGGCCCTGAGCCCATGGCCACGGGGGAAGCGATGTGGGATTTGGAGGCGCGCAACAAATTGCATTGCCATGGCAACGAGGCACCGTGGACTGATTTCTCCCAGGATACAGCCCGGCTCATGGCTGACGTCAGAGCAGCCCCGAGCCACTGCGAGCTGGCAGGGCCATGGCCAGGACGGGTGCCCTGCCACGGGGTACGGGCACATGGCTACCTCAGCCGGGCATGGCCGGGCTCGGTGGTACCTGGAGGAAGTCCTGGCTGTCGAAGGAGGCCTGGCGCACCAGCCGGGGCAGCGGGCGGGCAACACTCAGGGGTGACAGTGCCTTCACCTCCTTCCACTCCACACACAGCGTTGTGTCCACGGCCACTGCAGGAAGAGCCGAGGCCAGCCTCAGCACCTCCATTTCCCCAGCAGCCCTCTCAGTCCTCCACCCACTGACCCTGTGGTGGCAGCTTCTTGTCCGGTCTGAGACCAGACACAACTCGTTGCTGCAGCACTGGTGACTCACGCCCGGGCAACTCTTCCGCCTGTGTCAGCGGTAACGCACGTCCCCAGCCTGGCACTGGGGACCAGGCACCTGTCCCAGCTTGGCAGCTGCTCTGGGAGGGGTGGGGGCAGCTGGACCAGGCTGGACCGGGCCAGGTGCTGGGTGTGTGAACAAAGGCAACACTGGGCCATACTTGCAGGGGGATGCTGCTCCTTCACTATTTCCAAAATCCCCATCTCCAGTTCCCTGCTGGGTCAGGTGGGAAAGGAGCAAGAAGGGATAGGGTCAATAAAAGCACCTGCACCTGTCTTTTGCCACAATGGCTTGACCTCTGGGCACTGGCACCTCAAATGGATGGATGCTTACACCCTCAGGCACTGGCTCCCAAGAACTGGGGCCTCCTGCTCCAGTTGCCATGAAAGGCCAGTCCCAAAGGGGCCAAGACAGGGTATCTCCCAAGAGCTTCATTTCCCCTGCACCAAGGTGGGCCTGGCTGACATAAACCAGCTGTGAGGAGGGATACAGGGAAGCTGAAAAGTGCTGCCTCCCACCCACATCTGAGGGTACACCCTGGCTTCCTTGGGAAATTGCAGAGAGGATCGCCCCCACTCCCAGCTGTGGGCAGGGGCACCCTGTGGTGACATCCTAGCAACAACACCCCCAGGGCCCCTCCGGCGCTCTGCAACACTCTCAATGCCGTCCTAGCCCCCGTGAACCAAGCCTCCAGAACTCCCTCTGATCACAGCCCCCATCCCTCCTGCAGCACCCCCAGGACATCTGCAGCACCCCCGCCGCACCCCACACACTGCAGCAAACCCCAGCCTCCAACTCCCCCCTGAACGACTCTGTCTGTCTCATAGCCACCCCAAAACCTCTCAGGACTCTAAGCAGTACCCCCATCCCACACTCCTTTCCCAGTCCCCTTGCACCCCCACCCCCAACCTCCAGCTCCCCCAGAGCTGCAGTCCAACCGCTCCAATCACCCCAGCCTCTACACATCCACACCCCCCATATCTCCCTGCACTCCCTGGGCCACCCAGTGGCCCCAGAGCAGCACCCCAGCTCCCAAACCCCCACCCATCACCCTTTATGTACCCAAGTCCTCCAGAGCCCTCAAGCTCTCTGCACACACAACACACTTAGATACCCCAATTCTCTCTCACTTCCATAATTCCCTGTCCCCTAGAGCCCTCACAGCCTCCCAGTCCCCATACACACCACGCCATCCCCTGGATCCCCCTCAGCTCCCTGCTCTCCACCTTCCCGTATCCCCCAGCCTCCCTAGTGCCCCACAGCCCTCTCTGTCACCTCCAGCCCCTCGGCCGTCCCCATCAGCCCCGCACACCCCCCTCCCCACCCTCAAGTTCCCCTAACACCCTCCATGCCCCAGGAGCCCCTATTCCCTCAAGTCCCCGCTCCCATCCCGGTGTCGCTCACGCACCGATGGTGGTTTTGGAGCCGATGCAGCCCATGCTCCCGGGGGGGCCCCGGTGCGGGCACTACCGCCGGCTCCGCGCCGCCCACATCGCCCCCCGGCCGCATGGGCGGCCCCGGACAGCGCCCGCGCCCCGCCGGAGCCGCTGCCGAGCCGGGCCGGGCCGCGGTACCGGAGCCCCGAGCAGCACCGGAGCCCCGAGCGTGCCTGCGCCGGGCCGGGAGCAGCACGTCCAGAGACGTCACTGCTGGGGGAGGAAGAGGAGGGAGAGGGGGAGGCGGGAAGAAGAGGAGGAGGAAAAGGAGGAGAATGTGCGGGAGGAAGGCTGAGAAAGAGAAGGCGGAGGGGGATATGGGATGAGGGAGAGGAAGGAAGGGGAGAACGGGGGAGAGGGAGGCCGGGAGGAAGGGGAGATGAGGAGAGAGGTGAAAGGGGGATGAAGGCAGCCGGGGAGGATGAAGGAAGAGGGGGGCTGAAGGAAGAGGAAGAGGGGGATGGAGGAAGAGGAGGGGGCGCGGAGAGGAGGAGGATGGACGGAGGAAGAGGAGGGGGCTGAGGAGGAGGGGAAGAAGGCCGGCCACCGCGGAGAGCGCCGTGCCAGCACCGCGGACAGCGCCGCCCCTCCCGGCCCCGGCCCCCGTACACCCCCGGGGGGACAAGGGCTGGGACCCTGCAGAAACAGGGCACCCCTCAGCCCCAGAGCTGCCTGCCCCGAGGGCCCGGTGGTGCGGGAGGGAGCACACAGCCTCCCACCCGCATGGAACTGGGCTGGGGACAGGTGGCTGCAGGCTTTGGAGCATCACGTCTGACAGCAACGGCCCCTGCAGGAGATCGGGGCCAGCGCTGATGGGTCAAGCCGTGCTCATTCTGAAACATACTGATGGCAATTAATGCTGTGGTACCTTTTCCCTGGCACAGGAGGGCACTGCTGCAGTGCCACCCTCTCTTTCCCTTGGCAAGCAGGTTACCCCAACAGCTCCAAGTGCCTCTCTCCCTCCTTACTCACTCATTCCCAGGCAGGGGGAGTTCCTGTCCAGTCCCCATCCCGAGGCCTTTCCCTGCCAAATGCTTCCCAGCATTAGTGATGCCAGGGCTGCAGCTCAGACAGATCAGCCTCTAATCTGGGGAACAGCCTCCGGTTAATTATTCTGTACCCTTTGGGCCATGGCCAGGGTGACTCAGCAAGAGGCAGCCCAAGGCAGCAAAGACCAGCCTCTAGTCCCAAGGGGGACCAGCCTTTGTCCCCGGCAGGGATACCCCACAGGGGAACTCCAGCAGGGGCCAGCTGTGCCCCATCTCCAACTGCAAGACAAGGCCAGGAGGGGCTGATAGAAAAATGCCCTCCCACGCTGGAAGGTGTAGGGGGCACCTGGCACAACACCTCGCATCTGCTGCCCCAAGGAGACCACACAGGTTCTGCCACTCATGCCTGTGGGAAAAGGGACAGTAGGGGACATCAGGGCTCTGCTTCACAGCCAGGCTGCTGGCAGGGCTGTCCCTTCCACCTCCAGAGATAGCATAGCGGGCAGTGCCAGCAAGGGGAGTCCAGGGGGCCTGGCTCCAGGCACATCCAAGCCTCTTTCACCCTTCCAGCCCTGGAGTGGGGGGTACCTACCTGGCTTGCAATGACAGGGGAGGCTGGTCCTTGCCCATGCTCAAGGCTGGCACCCCCACACCAGCCCAGGCACAAGGGACATAGGAGGGGGGGTCGGCAACAGCGGCACACGGGGCATTATTTAGCAATGTTCTTTTATTTCCAGTTTTAAGGTGAAAAGATGCCTTTAAATCTTCAATTAAATACTCCATAAAGAAAAAAAAAAAAGGCAAAAAAAAAAAATTATTTACAAATTCACGTGACCAGTAATTGAATCCTTGTTTTAATAATTACACATGCGGCTCGTCACATCCGGCGCTCTATAAATACAGGGGACGCGGATGAGGGGGCCGCCCTGTCGCTTGCCCAATTGTGGCCTTAAACGTTTGGGAGGAGGATGGGGGCTTTTGGGGTCGTGGAGGGGACTCAGCCTGGCCCAGAGAGAAGGGGCCACCCCCCCTCCTCCCCGGCACCCTCCCCAGGTGTCAGAGCAGGAGCTGGGGGGGGGAATGATTTATATTTAAAATTTAAAAACCATAGAGGGGAGGGGTCCAGGCAGTGATGGAGGAATAGAGAGAGGACAGGGGAGGGGGAGAAATCACGCTCCTGTCCCCAAACCAAATTTAATAAGTTTATATATATATAATCTCTCTATATTTCATCAAGAAGCGGGGAGAAGAAGGAGGAGGAGGGAGAGGAGGGGAAAGATATGTCCCCATCCCATCCCCCCCTCTCCATGACATGAATCCAGGGGTGCTCTGCCCCACTCCCAGAGACCTGGTGTGCCTGCACTGGGAGGGGGGCGAGGAGGGTCCCCAAGGGGACCCATGGCAGCCACCGCCTCAGTCAGCATCTGTTTATTATCATCATGACAAACTCGTACAGGCCTTACAAACAGAACCAGGACAGAGGAAGAAGAGAGAGGAGAACTGAAAAAAAGAGAGGGGGGCTGCAAGGGGCAGAGCAGGTCCCTCAGCCCTGGCATCAGCAAGTCCATGGGGGCCAGGGGTGGGAAGGGATGGAGTCACTCCCCAGGGTGCCCCACTCTCTCTCCCCCCTTCCTCCTCCTCCTCCTCCTCACAGCTGCTCAGTTGTTGTCCGACTCATCCTCAGCTTCCCGGAGCCAGGTGAAAAAGGCTGTCACCGATTTGAGAGCCACCCCTTTGCCCTGCTGCTCAGCCGGGTCCTTGCTGGACTCCCACTTGTAGAAAGCCTCCTCCTTGATGACGTCCTCATCGTACAGGGCATCAAAGAACATCCGCAGCAGGTCTGGGGTGGGGGGACAAAGGGGAACCTCTACTGTTCTCCAGCCACCAGCCACCCTGCAGGGGTGGGGACACATTTGCCACCCTCTCCTCAACCCGCCCACACCCACGATACTCACTGGGAGGCTGGTCCAACTTCACCACCAAGGCTTGCAGGGCATAGAGTGCCTGGAGCTCCTTCTGCTCATCCCGCAGGTACTTCTGGAGCAGCTTGGCCTGGTTGCGGATGACCATGGCGTCCACACGGTACGGGTTCTCAACTGCGGGGCACGGGGCGTGAGAGGGGCAGTGTAGGCAGGGGCACCCCCACCACTCCCACCTCACCCTGGTACTCACAGACAATGGCCAAGTGGCACACAGACGTCATCAGGGCCCTGATAAACGTGTTGGACGAGACCTGCTGCTCGCTCAGGTTGGCCTAGAGGGGGGAGGATAAAGGATTGTGATCTGGAGAAGGAGCCAAGAGGGAGCCTCCAGACACTCAGGCATTGTGCCCCCACCCTCACCTCAATCCAGTCGTATATTCTTTGGTTGTTCGGGTTCTCCTTCAGCAGTTTGTCCATTTGCTTGCACAGCTCCTCTGAGGTCAGCTCCTTGCGGCTTGGCATGTCTGAGCTGTCCCCCATCGTGTACTCCAATTTCTGGGGAAGCAGGCAGAGAGAGCTGTTGAAGGCAGCACAGGGGACTGCCACTCTCACACTGCCCAAGGTCTGCATATGGCCCACCTCTGCCCCTTGCTGCCACCAAGCCCCCACCTGCTCTGTGACAAATTTGTTGACATCCTGGTCCTCAGGCAGGAATTCCTTCCAGCTCAGGCCCCCATCCCGCCACAGCTTTCCTGCAGTCTTCTGGCCCTGTGGGACAGACAGTCGGCATCAGCACAGCCCTCCAGGGAGGAAGATACTGTGGTTTGGCCATGCCAAACACATGACCCAGACACTGAGAGGGACGCCCCTCACCATCTTCTCTTGTGGCAGAGGGGTTCAATCCCCACATGCCCACCCAACCCCCAAGTAGGATGCCAGTCCTTGAGACAGCAGCCAGCAGACACTCAACCCCCATGCACTTACCATGCCCTTGCACAACAAGCCCAGCACCTCGACCAGCAGCGTGGTGGCCTTCCCAATGGGCACCAGGGGCTTTGTGATCTCCCTGTGTGGCACAAGAGACCTGGGTGAGCTACCTGCCCCAAGGAGGACTCCTGTGCCAGCCCTGCTGAGGAGCACAGCCCTTACCTGAACAGCTCCTCCATGGGGATGCCTTCCTCTTGCAGGATGGGTGTGATGAGCTCAGCCAGGTACAGCCAGATGTGCGGGATGTCAATCTCCATGTCCTCTGCGATCTCCAAGATCTCCCGCAGCCTGAAGAGCAGAGGGAGCTGTTAGGATCCAGCAGTCCCCATACCCTTGGCTAGGAGGGACCTCAGGATGTCTCAGTGCTGAGTCCTACTCAAGGGAAGGCCAATTCAAAGCCAGGCTGCCCCAGCCCCTCACCCTTTGTAGTACTGCTCCTTGGAGAGCGTGCCTGCCTTCACCAGCTGGCAGAGCAGGGCTCCCATGTGCTCGCGGGAGATGGTGCTCCTCTCCAGCGTGGACTCGATGCCATTTTGCACAAAGATGTAGAGCGAGGAGGAGCTGCCCAGCTCCTGCACACACTGCAGGGCCTCCTGCAGGGAAAAGGCAGGGTCAGTACTGCCCTACAACCAGCTCTGGCTCCCCCCTTCCACATCCAGGCACATGCCCAACAGTGCTACCACACAGGAAGGGAAGCATATAGCATGTCAGAGGAACATGTATGGTCTGTTAGAGTGCTTAGCCACCCCCTTCTCTCACCTTCATGTCATTGATGTGCAGGTATTCCTCTATGATCGCCTTGGATTTCTTCTCCAGTTCCTCTTCCGACAGCGCGGGCTTGGTGGATGCTGCAGGAGGTGTTGGCTCTTGTTTAACTGCAAGAGAAGAGCAAGGATCAGGCACCACCTGGGACAGGCAGAGCTGCAGGTGCAGCCAGACCCTGGGATATGGCCCCTCCCCAGCTCACTGGTCTCTCGGCTCCGGTCCCGTTCCTCCGTCATGCTCGCAGCCTTGCGCACGGCCTCGGGGCCGCCCTGCTTCTCCCGTTCTCGGCTCCTGTCCTCTGTCTCTTTGCTGAAGCTCCTCTTGGTGAGGGCAGACCTGTTCCTGTCTACTCTCTCCCCCCGGTCAAGACGCTCTAGACGGTCACTGCCCTTCTCCGAACGTGACTCCCG